GAAAGCAGAAGGTGCAAATGGCCAAAAACATGGACCTGTGTAGCTAAGCAGGGTGATGTAAATACAGGGCCTGCTTGTGCTCCTGTTCCAGTTGAAGTCAGTGGCTAAACTCTTAGGACAACATTTTCAAAAGTGGTCTTCAATTTTGGGTACCCCAATTTTGGAATTACACCGTGAGTCAAATTTTCAGAGTTGCTGTACAAGTACAACTGAAGTCAATCAACACTGTTAAAAATCAGACCCAACGTGTCTCAAGATGGGCACCCAAAAATTTAGGCATCATAAATCAGTGGTCATTTAAAAAATAAACTTTGGTATCATTGACTTCATTGGTAGTAGATGCTCATCATTATGGCAAAATTCTCTCCAAGCCACACATCAGATTTCAATTCTTTCAACATGCATGGATTCCTAGTGATTTAATAGGCTATCCATGCATGTGGAAAAGCAGAATATAAATCAGCATTTGCCATACAGGCATAAAGAGAAGTTTGCCCTTAAACTTGTGCAGACTGCAGGTTATTACTAGGCTTGGCAGATTTCAATTTTCATTGTTTTATCGTTTCAATGGATAATGTTAACATTTATTTTTAACAATTTGGAGAAAAAAATCAATTTAAATTTTTGCAGCTGTGCAAAATTATGGGTTATAAGCTTTTTTTCAATTTTTATCTATTTAAATTTTCAGTTGTGTCAGACGAAGGGGATCAGACAATTATTTAATGACAGTAGAAGAGAGACAAAAAAGTTAAAGCTTTATAACCATTAAAAGACAAATTTTCAACATGTCATGTCAAAATGTACAATATTAATATCCTTAAATCAAATCTAAAGCATTTTTCTTACTTTCCCTATCTGTAAATTTTGATGATAATTGATGGAAATATTCATCAGTTTGGGTATGAATGGTAAAATCAACATTTACCGATATTAACCCATAAACATTTAATTATTTCAAGACTAATTATGAGTAATCTACATGCACTGCATTAGTTATAGCCCTGCAACCTTCACTAACCTATAACTAATTGGTATGGCTAGCCTCAAGGGCCTTCTGTGATTAAGTGGAAGCCCAGTGACTCCACTCCTGGAAAGCCCCAGAAAATACAGCAACACTGTTCAGTTTAGCTATTGTGGATTTCTACAGCTTCTTAGGAACATTCATTTGACTGACAGTCTTGAGAGTGCCTTTGTGTTCTAACATTTAACATAATACATTTTTAAGAATCAGTCATTTATTGCAACATAAAACAAAAGCTGTCCTGTTTTTCAGTGGAAGGGGTACAACACTGAGCTGTTCCTTTAGAAACAGATTCTCTCGTGCTCAAGGGTTTTATAATTATCCGGACTCTCATTTGGCACACAAAGAGACTATGGACAAAACTACTGTCTAAATTGCCTGTTTTCCAATCCCAGCAAAGAGTAAACATGAGCCCTCTTCCAGCAACATGGTCTCTAAATCCATTGCCAAGACTTATTTGCTAAGGATAGAAACTGGAGCTTCTGCAGGGGTCCTAAAATATGAATAAAAAGCACTCAGATACTATGTGAAGGGTGCCAACATAGGAACAAAAATATTGTAGACAGATTGGTCACCACCACTCTGTACAAGAAAACCTTTGCCTGGCCAGATATTTCACATAACCCGTGCTGTCATACCCCTCTGATGGAGCCCTTGTTTCATCCCAGTGTGCACTGTTTCTTTGAAGTTATGAAAGTGAAGATTCTCTAACTTCTAAGGCTATGTCTACACTACACAGCTTTTAGCGACACGGTTGTGTCGCTACAGCCGTGCCGCTAAAAATTGTGCAGTGTAGCCGTTGTTTGTTGGCTCTCCTGCCGACAAAAAACTTCCACCCCAACAAGCGGTGTTTGCGTTGCCGACAAAACACTGTTCACACTGGTGCTTGTAGTCAGCAAAACTTTTGTCTTTTGTGTGTGTGTGTGTGTGGGGGGGAATTAACACCTTTGAAAGACAAAAGTTTTGTCGTTCAATTGCCAGTTTAGACATAGCTATAGCCTAAGAAGTGCTATGCTTCCTGGTGGTCATTGTCTTGCAGGGAACCATATGGAGTTGAAAAGGAATTTGAGACATCTCTATCAGGCAGAAAATCTAATTTGTATACCACATTATCAGGCATATGCATCATACTACTATTTTAGCAAGCCAGTATCTGATTAGGAGGGAAAGGACTGATACTAATATTTATTGAACATTGACAGTGTTCAATAAATCCCAGCCTTTTCAGCATTCTCTAGGACGTCCCGGATTTTCACACTTGTTTCTATTTTAATTAGTAGTCAACTTCCACCCTTGGATATGACCATGCAGCTCCTGCAATTAGTTATAGCCCTGCAAAGAGGTGGATTTATTTATCTCACAGACTGTTAAAAGTAATATAATTCTCAGTAGTCTCCCACCTAAGCTAGTCCTACTAAGCTTTGATTGCTTCCTATGTACATAAGTGGAAATGAAACTCAAGAGCCACCAGAACGCTTAAGATAAGGGGTAGGTTTTTGCTACAGAATCAATAATCATGTACATATAAGAGAGTGCTCAGGATTGGAAAGTACAGTCAGACTCAAAGTTTCCACAAGGGAAAATCCCTGCAAGGGAAATTTTAGAAGCAGAGTGCTCTCCCACAGTCAAAGCAAATCATTTCACTTTCTTTTTCCATATCTTGCTTGGTTGCTGTCATGGCCCGTGCCGGCTGTCTGTATATTTTGTTGTGAGGATGACAGACAACTGAGTTTACAAATATTTGTGGGGGGAAAATGAGAGAAGGATTTGTCTGAGGCCATAACTATCCTAGGGGGGGAAAAATCGTATTTTGAAATGTGTTAACTAACTTGATATTAAACACAAATTAACACCCTAGTCTAGACAGGACCAAGTCCTGTTTTAAAACATTTTAGCGAATGTGTTTTAAATACTAAGGGAGAAGTCTTGTTTAACGTCATGTTAGTTAAAATGTGTTAATTAAAACATGTTTTAAAACTCAATGCTTTTTCCTCATGTAGACATGAGCTAAGTGGGAAAATGTTTTTTCCAGCAGTAGCAACAAGGAAGGCTCTCATTCCTGATTCCATCTCTTCTCCCTTTAGCAAGGACGTTATGATTGTTTACAGAAACATCTCAAAGAACGGGTATAAATAAATTCCCAGATGAAAATTGACTTTGTTAAGAAAAAGGATTAGAACATATTCCCCTGTCAAACACTGTTAATAGAAATTATAATTTTAATTAAATAACACCTATTGGTTTTCATCCATGTATCTCCCTGTACAATACAAATGTGGTTAGGCATCATATCCCCATTATTCATTTAAAAATAAAAGCTCTGGTTAAGCAGAGAAAAGCTTGTAATATTTACCAGATGTCTCGCAGAAGCGATAATGCACAGAGATGAATATATATATCATATTCAACGAAGTAAAAACATTGTAAAATAGCACTAGCAGGGTTCGCTTCCACAGGGGAAGCGAGCCTGGATTTCTAGAGGTGCTAAACTTGCAAAATCACTAGCTGCTTTTGAAAATCTTGAAAATCTGCTTTTAAAAATCAGCGCATAAAACAATTTTGAAGGTTTTATGGTAAATCCCTTGAGTTCTGAGTGGACAAAAAGAACCTGAACCATTTTCAAAAATGTCAGCATCTTTTAAAGCATTATGATTCATAAATGCTTTGTGATTAATCTCAAACTTCCCCAAAAAGTCTGCCCTGAGAAGGGGCTATACAATTTGTAAGGAAATAACTTGGTCAGAAAGTTAGAGAGGAGTGTCCGAATTGGGCTTCTGACAGAAACCATCTTAGCTTCTCTATGTGGGGAAATTTACAGGGAAAAATTTACCAGTATAATTATCTTGCTGTAGTTGTACTGGTGTAATTCCCCGTGTGAATACCCATTTTCAGGAACCAGGGCCGGCTCTGGCTTTTTTGCCGCCCCAGGCAAAAAA